AGTATATCAAAATTACTGAAAGTGATTTTACTAAGACTTATGCGGAGAGGGTCTTTGAAATATATCTGCAGTCTTATTATCGCCCTCGATAGTATTTACCTCATCGTGCAGTATTAAACATGAAAAAACCAGATCTTAGAGTGGTCCTTGATTGTGCCGCCCAGTTTGCAGGGGTTCCCCCAAATGATATGATTTATCAAGGACCCGACACAACTGCTGAGTTAGTGTGTATATTATTGCGTTTTCGCAAAGAAGCAATCGCAGTCTCTGCAGATGTTGAAGAAATGTTCATGCAAGTGAAGGTCCCTGAGTCTGATCGAGGAGCTTCAAGATTTCTGTGGTGGCAAGAGGGAGACATATCGAGGGAATCATCCGAGTTTCAAATGACATCCCATCCATTTGATGCCACATCATCGCCATTTTGCGCGAACCAAGCACTGAATAAGACGGCCCAAATATTCTCTGACGGTTATGATGGTTACGTTGTAGATGATGTCAAGAATAATTTCTATGTTGATGATTGCTTGATACCCATTCCCACTTGTGATCAAGCAACGAGTTTCGTTAAGCATATAAGTGAATTATTATGTAGACGAAGTATACAAAAAATGACCGATCTTGAATCTTGGTTCAAATGTCCTACTTTATTGCATGGCGAATTTTATATAACAATCACTGACTGTACGGAACCTACTCTTGACGATATTGAGTTTAGAAAAACTGCTGTGGTTAACTTGAGTAGTGTAAAGTACAACAAGACACCTGTTCTCTCTTATTATTCCGAGTGGTTGAAATTAGTCAGAGCTGTAACCTGGTTTAGAAGGTTCATCGAATTCCTGATGGTACTTCGTTTACCGAGTTGTGAAGGATCCGTTCATCTAGGATGTTTAAAGGTCAAAGAGCTTGAGATTGCCAAGCGTAAGATTTTATTGATGGTTCAGAGAGAAGTGTATGGAGAATTACTTAGTGAATTTAAGAACAGCAGTAAAGTAGTAAGCCATGACGATCTGAAAGGTTTATCGTTGATGATGCCTGATGGATTACTCTGCGTTGGAGGTCGACTAAGATACTCAGATTTACCAAATGCTTTTAAACATCCAGTAATTCTACCCAGTCGACACTTAGTGACGGAAATGATAGTTAGACATTGTCATAAAGAACAAGGACACATAGGAAGATCATTAGAAAAAGGGTATGGATATGTGTTTACTTGTTTGCAAACATGGGGAGTACATATTGAAATGATGTGTAATTTGATTACTGCTTCATTTTTAATGGCTCTATTACGTTTTATTGGAAGAAGAAGGAAACCTCCAGAGATTTACAGTGTCAGTGCGTCAAGCTTCGTGGGGACAGTTTCTGAGTTAAGCAAGCTTGTGCAGCAGTCGAATCAGAAGATAAACATTGAATTGTCAGCAAGGCCCTCATCCAACAGCATGAGTGGAGTTTGGGGAAGAGTGATTAGGTCTATATCACGACTGTTATTGTTGATCACCAGAGAACAGGTGAAGCAGGTCTCCTTGAAGCTTTGGATTAGTCTTTGTTGTTATTAATGTAGTTAGGTCGAGTAGGCGTACTGTTGTAAGTCCTACTCGTTCCTATGGTGTGATATGTTATATGATGAACCATGACCGTAGGCGTCAAGGTAGCTTGTGTGATATGGAGGGATTTTGGGGGCCGGTGTAAGATCCATTTTGAGTGCCTCGTGTGTTTGTGAAAATCCCTCCATGTATATACCTACACTTTGTTCCTATTGATTCTTTTAGTTGTACATTGTTAACTTTTTGACTACATTTGAATTGTTAATATTTGTATTTTATTATTGTTTCGTTTTTACTACACCTTCACCAATTCCCCATGTTTCTTCCCGAACTGCACTTATGTTGTTTTACTTTATACTAAGTCTGGGCGGCAGCCATTTTGGTTTATCCTTGCTTTTGATTGCTTGACCTGTGTTGACTGGAATTGTGCATTTTGGTTGTAAATTGAAGCACTCTTCCAGAATTGAAAACACTCTGTGTTATAGAGCGACCAATTATTACCTTTTGAACGAATCTGTACGTGATCTATCCAGACAGGATAGAATAACATTTATTTGTGGTGATTGATTTAATTGATTGAACAATCATTGGTTGAATAGCCGGGTGATAATATTTGTTTAGAACCGCTAGTTACCCGATTACTTGTTCTGATTTCGACGGGAAAGGGCGCGTGTCTAAAATCCCCTGTCGGCTATTCTTCAACATCCAAACCGTAGTTTGGATCCTACAGTGGTGCTATTTCTGTTCATGAGTTGTTTTCTTTGAGGATCAACATATTAATTGAAGTTATTTAGAAAAACAATATCTATGAAGGGCATGGATACTTTTACCATAACATGTTATTAGAAAAACGACTTGACGTTTTTATATCAGACTTCTTCGCCACTCTGTAATTAGTGAGGTACCAACATTATGCCTTTTGTCATCTAAATAAAGCATGATTTCGGCTCCGGTATCTACAAGGGATTGTATGCTTGTCATTTCATCATGCATGTAAAACAAACGACATTCTCTAGGAGTTACGTCAGTTGACTCAGTCTTCATGACCAGCGGCGGGATCGTTTACATGGTGTTATTTTCAATCTAAATGTAACCTACAGTTTCAAGCTCTGTTCTGCCATAAGGTTGATGATACTAATATACCGAAGGAGCTTAGTGTCTCCTGGAAGCAATAGGCTCCTGAAGTGCAAACTACTCTGTGACCACCACTGTAGCCTGCCTTTCTGCGTCAACTTTGCCAACCTGTGGCATAAAATGCTTACCTCATTTAGTAACATATCGGCCCCATCACCTACTGTCGTGTTATGCAATTTGGGACTAGTTTACTCTGTCCCTTCGTATATCTTGTTGGCTACTTTTGCGTTATTATCTATACCAGCATCTCTACCAGAATGAGAAAACCCGTTGTACACTCAGCGGGAGTCAGTGGAGTCACAGTTAGTAACATAGGTTACTCTCTACTTTCCTGTACCCTAGCAGCTTTTTCGGGTGGCTTCTTGACTAGGAGGGAATCCTTTCCCATTTGCACATGATAGAAAGATTAAGGGATATCAGAAATGATGTAAATAAAAGACTAGACGTAGCTTTTTCGAAAGATATGTTTATAACTAACAAATAGCACATGAATAAGACAATCTATTTGTAATGAATAGTAATGAATTGACGGCAATAATGACAGTAATAAATGGTACAACGTTACAACACAGACTTATTATATCTCATCAGTATATCAACTGTAATTGAGAATGTCCCTATTCATTATTGGCAATAATTTTAAATTGTGTTCAGTAATAATTATGAGACAATGTAAACGCACTTTAAAACAAAGATAACAGTAATCCCGAAAAAATGCCGAAATCCATCATAGTAACCTAAATTGAGACGAATTATGTTGGTTTTCGGAGTTACGTTGGACGATAGGAATATGGGTTTTGTTCTCCATTTCTGTGAAGAATTATCTTCCAGACAATTCCTAAAGCACGAGGGTTACCTACAAGCACGAAAATAACTCTAAAAAGAAACACTCCTGGATTATGAATCTACTGACTGACATGTGCCGATGGGCTGGCATCCAAAGTCGAGAGGATAAGTTGAATTTTATATAACTTGGTTTCTCGAAAGCCTTTAATAATGTCAGTTATATGTGTGCCATCAGTAAACTTAAGCAGATAGAGACCCAGTTAGTGCTGAAGGATTAGTTTAACTTATATATGAGTATTATTCATACTTACTCTAGCAAAAAAATCCTGTTGGAGTTTCCTGGGATTCACCACTAGGAACTCTACTCTTTTTATTGACACAAATGACCTTGCACTGAGATACCACTTTTTGCCGATGATGTTAGACCTTGGAGAGAAGTTTGGAACCAGTACGATGAACCAACACTTTAGGAAAATCCGACCCGACCTTGATATTATTCGGTCAATAATGGACCTACTACTTGGAACGTCGTCCGAACAAATCAGTTAATTCTTCTCTGAAAATGACACTAGTTGCGAAATATGTAGGCATTCCGGTCATCCATCATGCAGAATGCTATTCCAACAGTGACAATGTCTCTTTCGAAATAAACTTGGCACTGACAATTTTTGAGGTTATTTTTAGTCAGTTTGACTGAAAAGTTGTGAATCTTATTCTTAACAGTTTTGCTCGAACACGCTTAGAGTCTGAAAACATATTTCCACACCACTCTAGAACGGGTAAAGTACTCTGGAGCAAGCCACGATATTAGTTTATGGAATTAAATTCACACCTTAGGAAAAATTCCGAAATCCTCTAAATCTCCCTTCAGAGTAAAGGTAACTCGACGCAACCTTTTATGATTTCAAGTCCCCGTAACGTCTATTAACGTCCTCCGGATTACTAGTTTTAGTTTAACTCCAACATACTACTTAAATGGAATACTCTGAAGTTAATGGTAAAAGCAACTAACCTAAAATCCTTTAGGAGAAAAATTATTTGCGCTTACAGGCCATGAAGAATATATCATATTGCTTTACCAATACTTATTTCATTTCTGTTTATTTTATGCACTCAGGTACCTATCTTGAGAATTCTAATACAGTTGAAAACAGGAGTTTGCTAAACGAAAACGTTTTCTGTTCAGTCCATAACTGTTTAAATTATTTGATAGGCAGGAATAAATTTTACTAAATATTTTTTAGAAAAACCAAGAGGTTCAGGTACTTATTTAAATTGCGAGGTCTTCAGCACTGAGATACAAACAGGAAATTAAAACACTACTGGGATTGACGGGAATCTTGACCAGCGTGCTCAGAATCGCCCTAGTCATAAATTACTTATCCTTAGGTGCTTTATTATTATGAAGTAACGATCTCTGTTTCTTCTCAGTCCTCTTTCTCATGGTATGTTCAATGCTACAAGATAAATGTGACAGTCCAACATGAAAATGTAAGCCTGTGTATGAACTCAGTCAAGGCCATTTTTGTTTTTATGTATCGGAAACCTAAGTGTTATTTCTAACACATATTTGTTCGCACCATTTTTCGCTCACTGGTTGTTCTACTTTGTCAGGTGAGATTTTCCACCGTCAAATGGCTTCGATGTCATTCCCGTGTTGTATCTTTATTTTTGATTGCTTTCACTAATAAATGCTAGCTCATATTGTGTACTTACTGAGTCATCTGCTTACTTTTTTTTCCTTTTCTTATAGATTCTCGCATACCCTGTATTGCACGCTCATCCTGCACACTGTCTTTACACTAGGCCAAAATCTGCCGAGAGTTGAAATTTGCACAGTTTTTAAATGCGACTCCCTTTGGATTCATATGGAGTAGACTTGCATGTTCATCTAGATGGTGCTATTAGGCCAGAAACATTATTTGAGATATCGAATGACCAAAAATCCAAAGTCTCGTTTCAAAATTTAGAAGAACTTAAAAGAAAGCTAATGCCTAGAAAGCCCCACAGCCTGAAAGATTTTCTGAAAGCTTTCGAGATAATCATACCATTAGTTGCCGGTAAAAAGGTTAGTAAAATTAAATTACTTATGATTAAGAAAAAAAATTGCGTCCCACTAGTTATGATTTTTTTTTAGCCTGAGCTGAAGTAGGTTATTTAATATTCCAACTCACAGAATGTATCGAAAACCTTTTCTTTTCCGCAAATTCATATTTTCTTCCATACCTAATCGTTTGTGTTCCTACTAATACTGTCATTATGCATTATACTCTGGCGTCTCTCTGTGGTGGCGTGGTGTAACAGCTCTAACCAACCCATATAATTCATAGGCTCGATATCAAATAGCTGACTGGTATCAGATAAAAGTAAAGTAGTTTTATAATCCATGCAAGGCAGAAATAAATAGAATGGATATGGAAGTTAATTACCTTAGTATATGGTGTTAGAACGAAGAGCAGTATATATCACAGTCAGGGGAAGTTTAGGAAATGTTGTATTTAACACAATAAAGACTGGTAGATCCATCTAGCTGCCACAATGTATCGTTAAATCAAGAATCCTGTTTATTTATTTAGTAAGAATGACCAAAATATAAAGTATACATCATTCAAGTGTCTCAGACCTATACAAAACGAGGTTAACTATGATATAAACAAATCGGAAGCGGTTTATTTAAGCTATTACCAATGATTAAAAAATATTGTGGAGAACTATACAGTGCCCTTTGAGTGCATTATAACGCCAACAATGAACATTTTTGAGCCATGAAAGATTTCATTAATCCTGAGTAAAACGAAACACGAAATGTTCGGTGTTGCCATCTTTATAGACACCATGAAATACACCATTAAATCCAAGTATGAAGTGATATTACCGGAAACGTGAAAACCGGATAGAAGTAAATTGTTTCATTCATAACCGGCGTTGCAAACTAACAATAAAACTTGAGTCAAATGAGGGACCATTTCTTGGTTGCTCAGTCCTACTTGTAATTCCAGATAAAACTTAATTATAAAACTCATTTTTAAGGGCTAACCAAAAACAACCCACATCATAACTTAGTTTCAAGTTGTATGTACCCTCCTGTCACGAAAACCACTTTAATTTGTAAATATTTGGAGTTTATTCGTGATATTTATACTTTGCTACACTACGCAATAGCTGCATAACATAGATGTCAACTGCTTCTTTTCAAGTCAATTTGTAAATGCTTCCTGGTAAGAAAAAGTATCATATTTTCCTCATAACTAACCACATTCTCATTGTCTGCTGAATGGCTATTTTGCCATAAATACTGTTCGTAATATTTCATACGGCTAAACGGATAACCATAGTACTTAAAAAAACGTGACCGTTTGCTCAATATAAAGTACGGTATTAGTAAAAAAAATAGTATGCATTTTTGTGTGATTCGAACGTTTTGAGTGCCATTAGCTAATGAGGTTAGATGATATATATAATAAATATGAACTTTAGATATCTACAAAGGTAGAACCAATAGTAGTCTAGTAACAGAGAGCAACATTGGAGGTTAAAAATGGTATATCACAAACAGGGTTGTGAATAAAGTATAGAGATTTTTGTGACCAGTAGCATGAATAAAACACCTAAATTGTATGTTAAGTTTAACACTATTTTAACTTCTTATTTTTTATGTCCTATTAGTGATCTGTCTTATTCACTCTCGGTTTATATGCCTTTTTGTGTTTATCAAGTTGGGTCTGAACAATGAATGATCACAACAATAACAAAACTAAAACGTACGCTAATATAATACGTCGTTTACACTTATAATGATCGTTGTCTGAGTCTAAGTTTCTTACGTGTAATTTTAGTGGCCCGTGGATCTGACTCCAATTAGATAGTACGAATGTTTGCTATCGCTTATTTTTGCATATCATCGTCGACTTTAATCACGTTAGTCAATAACGGAATTAAACAAGTCAAATAACGAGAATGGGATTTTGAATACATATATTATGTATATGAGGTGAATGGAATAGAAGGAAGAGAAGCGACGCAGAGTGGAGATGGCTAGTAAGCCAACTCATTTTTAGTCAGGCGTTAATCAATATTTAAAGGCAGACAAAAATAAGATACAGACATGCAATGAGTCATGGGATATGATGTGTACACACATATACGCTCATATAAAAACAATCAAGACTGACAAGCGAATAATTAACAAGGTCAACATATGACTCAAGTAGAATGAATAGAATGGAATGTCCGAAAGCTAGAATAAGGTATGTGGGCTTAACATAGTAACTGACACTAAATAATCTATGAACAAGATCAAACCATCTGTTGCTAGTAATGCTCAGTATCAGATAATAAGAAAATGGTGTTTGTGTAATATGAAATCCTCACGTGGTTGATGGAGAGTTCATTCATTTGCGGATGTGCATATGTTAATTTTTGAAGCCTTGATAATATGAGTAGCAATAATTAAATAATGTCAGAGAAATACTCATGTTGTATATTACTTTCAATTAAAAACATTTTACCATGATTTAATTTTTAAATGATTGTAAATTTGCAGAAAAATGAGACTAAATAGGTACATTCGTTCCCTGAAAATAAAATTTCTGTAATTCAAGAAATGAATGCATATTTTCTGAGACTACTTTAAAATTGTGAATGTACTAGTTTGTTATAGTTATTTTAATTAGTGTGAAAACAAAACATGCAACTCTAATGCCGCGTTAAAATTTATTGATATTAAATGTATTTTATGAAAATCTTTTACCACTTTTGTTTCTCTACTCGTTAGTTCGTAAAATAAGCAGCTGGTTTACGATTAACTTACCACATTGTAGTACCCAATCTCATATCCGTTTCGTTCTTTTAATGTTGATCGAATTGGCTGACCAGTTTGTGATAAAGCCGTCAGTCCAAGTTACATAACATCGATCCATGCACTATGTCGAAATGTTAAGTGGTTCGAGGCACTCGGCAAGACCCATAAACATTGATTTCTACTATTCAGCACTCGTTAGCAAGGCCTTCTTACATTCTTGAGGAGACTGATACTTCCTATGTGATTTGAACCGACGTCACCCAGCTTTACAATTTGAGACTTTACCACTGAATAGATCAAACAGCTCAATTGTAACATCTCACACTGTAAATCCGGATAACGCACATTCCGACTCCATAGAAATATTCAGTTCCCTCAAGACTGCAAGTTCGCATTAATGAAGAGTGTGAAGTAGTAAAACGTCTAGGATCATTCTCTTGCCGGATATCTAAAACCACTTAACATCTAAACAATTAGTTATGGATACTTCAGACTTGATAGTCCTCACACTAACAGTCAAACTACTTTTGGCAGCAACAATATTATGTTTTAATGAGTTGAAAACAAATATATTTATACGGTGCTGTGTTTTATGTATTTTGTCATAAGTTTGACAAGGAGTAAATCTAAATTATATTTCAGATCAAGAATTTGTTAAAACATAGTTATTTATAAGTCACATTATTAGTAATACCGTGATAAGGAAACAATATATACAATTTTCTATTATTCTGTTCATATTTAGCATAAAAAGCTAGTTTTATTAGGCATCATTTCAAAACATTTTAATAGACAAGAATTTCTTCAAATGTTTCAGTATTCTTATAATTGACTTAAATAAAAACGTTAATGTTAATCAATGTAAATTTTATTGATGAAACCCTGACTATTACATCATTCAGAAAATTGCATTTATAACACTGATTTTCCAATGATTCTAAAGAAATTGTTCCACGGATTAATATCCAAAGTGATTTTTTTGTAAATTATATTGGTATTGGTTATTAATCCTATAGAGACCAGACTAAAAAGAAATGGGAATGAAATCACGAATGACCGAAATAGAAAATATGATTCACTAGACTAAATACCTGCACGTTCATAGCCATTTACTCTATCAGGTTTGTCGATTGAAGTTGATGTATATATATATATATATATATATATATATATATATATATATATATATATATATATGATGTTATATCCAAGCAAAGATTAAATCACGGGTAACTTCTGAGACATATTAATTGACTAATATTATCTATACATTCTTATGGTATAACTATTCAATAATCAGATTATATATTTATATTCCTCTTATTATAAGCTTTATTTTGACCTATAATTTATTATTGTACGATTTACTGTTCAGTTTATTAACTACTGCCTCCCACGTTCACAGCCACTTTTTGGCTTTATTGTGTACAAGTGTTATTTCCTATTTTATGGTGCGTTGCGGTCTGTTTGGTTGATATATAAACCCAGTATGTCTGAAATAAATGATTCGATTCGATTCGATTCGCATAGTGAAAGCTGGTATTTGGTGTTCTGGACTCAAGTGGACGGGCTAGGAGGCGGACATAGAACCAATAAGGACGCTAGACCGCCCATACCGGTCGAACGTCATTGGTTTGGCACAGTGCTAAGATTGTATAAGTCGTATTTTGATTGGTGGATAAATCACGTGATAAAAGCCGGACATAAAGTCACAACATATAAGGTCTTTTTTGTAGCACCACTAAAAACCGGCCTTTTTTATATTTACTGTTGATTGATCACTTAATATTGACTAATTTCATGTTTGTCTGACGCTTAAATTTCTGATTTTATTCTGTGGATCAACTTGTAATGCTGCCGCAAATCTAAGTAACTTAAAATGTGCACCACTTTGAGATCCTAGACGGTTGGAGCCTGAATATCTTGGTGGGAACTCCTTAGACTATGAAACTAGGTTTAAATCCTTTAGTGAACACTAGTTTCCCCACGATCACAAGTACACTACTGACGAGTGCTAAATAACACAATACTCAGGTTCAGGGTTTCGTATCGTTTACTCAACATTTGTTCAGTAATAAGATAACTTTGACAAGTTAATATTTCTTATACTTTATAAACCTTTCGTATGATTATTTGCTTGTAATGGGAAGATATAAATTCATATAAGTAGTTTCGTACCCATTCAATAAATTATTGTTTATCTGAACTCAATAACTCAGTTAATAACTTATTTGTGTTCAAAGCGATTGGTATTGAATTTAGTTCTTACAGCGAACATCGATCACATGATGCAAATACATGTAGTCGACGAGTATCATGCAGAACGAAAGATGTTTTTTGTATTCCATTGGTAGCTACAATCGAAATATACTTTGGACGCGTAAATAAAGTGTTGATTTAAGACGTGTGTTCAGGATGCACATGTACCACTAGAAACTTATCAGTCACTGTCCTGAATATCGAAAAGGAGACAGTGCAAAATCAAATTTTATTTATTCGACCTAAAGAAATGAGTCAAAAGACGTCAAATTTCTACTCATTGGGATATCACAAATATATCATTATTTTGTTATTAATTCACGCTTTTTAAATGTTTAATAATGCTAATTAGTTTTTCTTTTCTATTTTTCCATCTACTCCTTTCTATCCACACTAACTTTGTTTAATTAGGAGGTTTTGGCGCGTATTTGTGAAGAGTTTGTTGAAGATTGTGTAAAACGCGGTGGTTTATGTTATGTGGAAACAAGATATTGTCCATTTCTATTAACTGATTCTAAATGTAGCGCAGAGGAAGTATTAAAAACAATTTTGGATGCACTTAACAGAGCCAGCAAAAAGCACGGGATAGAAGTTCGTTCTATTTTATCAATTATGAGACATATGCCTGAGACAGCTAAAGAAACATTAGACTTAGCCAAAAATTATCAACCACATGGAGTCGTTGCAATCGATATTGCAGGTTAGTGAGTTTGCTCTTATTTTGTTGTTATATGTTTGGTATTTTTTAATCTTCAAATATTTAACTGTAAATAGGACGACTGGCTGAGCAGTGCTGAGGTTAGCCCCAAGATACTAGGCATTAATGGTAATTCAATTTTATAGGGGAGTAAATCTTCGTCGACTGAAGTGGTTAGGATATATATCATATTTTCCTAACCACTGCCTAGCTCAGTGCGGGATGTTTGCTGATGTAGAAATATGTTAGAAAAAATCCAATGGCACCTAATTTAAGAGCTGGCATCGAGCCGTAAAGTAATTAACTGTTAAACAAAGATATGTTGGTAGGTGCAGAATGCCAGGTTGAGGTCCTTGAGATGATAGTAATCGATGTTTGAAAATCGTGGGTGACATTATCCGTAATCGGTTACAATCGCGCTGATGAATTTACTCTTTGTCTTTCCTTAGATCTAGAATTTTGAAATTATCTTGAACTTTTCATTTTGCGAATTCATTCTTTCTCCAATCATATTGTCTATGCTTAATTTTTCCTATGACCACTAATACTATTAATAGTTCCACTACTCTAGCATTTGTCTTGATAATTTGATCTCAGTAAATTAGTTTGCTGTGGTAACATGAACCGATCATGTATTTCCTGGTCTCTACTTTTCCTATGACTGATTAATTAATACTTCCTAATGGCGGATTTGATTAAAGCTATTAGAAACTCGTCAGCTATCAAATGGTATTCTAGAACTTCTCAACAATATTCACCTATAATGCAAATCATGATCAACTGAAGTTCACCAATATGCTGTTCTTTTAATTGATAAATATTATTATCAAAAACATTCAAATTCAACTACTTAATAAATCATATTAACAGCTAGATTTTCAAAACCTATAAGTAATTAGTTTTTCTACCTTTCAAAAACACTCCATTTATCTGTCATAAATTGTAAACAATCTTCTAATGATCAAAACGATGGTTAAAAACACTAGTGGTTTGTCCTATTTTCTAAAAGTGAGTTAACAATATATAAGCATTTCAGACAGCTTACGGACTACGTTTAGAGCTTGAGTTTAGATGTTTAAATTAATTACAAAGTACTGTTGTACAACTCATATGAAATGAATACTTACAGAGAGTATATTTTATCCAGACTTTTTTGTTCATTTATTAAATATTATCAGTAAACTGTTGTCCTCATATAGTTTGGTTACGTGCAATTTTATACTATCAACATCGATTAAATCTCAGTATATCCTACAAAAAGTAGCTGTGTATGAAGAGTACCATCAAATGATACACGACTAGTCAATATTCAGGTTATCATCAAAGTAATAATACGATCCTGAATGCCCACAAAGATCCTTCAACACATTGCGTTATAAACTATTATTGAACTAAGTGAACTTTAATTACCTTGCTCTCTGCTTGATTTCGAATAAACTAAAACTGTTTGCAGAGAATAACGAGATCAATACATGTACTTTTCGACGATTATTGGTGGGACACACCGAAAACCTATAGCATGTCATTGAATGGATCATTGATGTTCTTAATTACTCAACAGAATGAAATACCATTGGTTCATCTTGCATCACAAAAATGAGTTCAAACAAGTCGTAAACCATTATTGTATGATGTTGGTGATACATTTTAATAAAAAGGTGATAAATTTTTGTCCATTTTCCTAAGGAACTATTTCAGATTTTTGTGTATATTCCCAGATAGATAGAATCAGAAATCATTAGTAGCAATGGTTATGGATCAACTGTTCCGTCAATTGATTTAGCTTAATTACTTAACACTTTACAAATGATACTCAATTAAGCATTGTCACCAAGCAACCTAGTACTTGAAAAACTATCAGAACTTCATAAGTTCCTTAAATTGAATATTGACTCATAAGGAACCTAGCAGTTCAAAGCGTAATAACTCATTCGGAAGTCAATTTTCATCTTGCACTATACATTCAAGTTCTAATTAATCAAGTTACAATAGAATATTTAAAATCTAACAGCTATCAACTTCAAAGTATAACCAACGTTGTATAGGTAAACAAAGTTCAGTTTCATGCGTCAATGCAATCTACTTGTAAGAATCACATCTATATCACACAAGTTTAAAACGTATTTCATTTGTTTGTTGACATGAATAACTCAAACAAAACTTCAATTATTTAAATAATTAAAATAGACCAAGTTAAAACTTTTATAAATAAATTTCCCATAGAATATTCAAAAAAAAAAGAATATATGAGCGATAAATCGTTTTCAATAACTTCATCATATATAATTATTGTAATATTTTGCAAAGGCCAAAATAAAGTATTCATTAATGGATTTGACAATGTTATATGTTAAAAAATGATGAACTATGGTATCCGTCACGACACAAATACTTCGAAATAGTGTCATTTGTAAGTTAGGTCATTTAATAAAGGTTGGAATGCTTCGTTGTGAATTGTCAAGTTATAATAATGATAAACTAAATCATGTGAACAAACCAACTTCCAGCTGAAGAGGAAACTAGGGAAAAACGATGAAAGTGGATAGGACGTACGCCGCAGAATGTATCAGACTGCATCGCGAGGCAAGTGCTAACTTGGAATTCTGAATGGGAACGAAAAATAGGGAGACCAAAAAACACACTGCTTTGGGAATTGCAAGCAGACATGAAAAGAATCAATCGTAACTGGAAACAACTCGAAAGAATTTCCCGGGACATAGTCGGATAAAGAATACTGAGGAGTGGCTTATGCTCCTCCATGAGGAGTGACGAACATAACGAAGTAAAATTGTGTGAATAAAATGCATAGCAGGAGTACTTCGTCTTGTGAATCTGATAAATTCTTAAAAAAACAAGTACCATCTACTCTGACTTAAAGAAGCATTTCATTTATCGTTTATTTAGTTAGAAAGACAAAACTCGAATATCAAGTAAACTATTTAGTCTATCATATGGATTCAACTCGTTTAAACTGAAATATGTCTATATAGTTAAAGTATTGTTTTCCTCTTTTAAACATTTGTAAATAATTCTCTTTTAAAACGAGAACAACAATGAATATTTCAGCAGAATAATATAGATTCGTGTGATTATGTTAAGTCCTTGTTAATTAATTCTACAAGCAAATTAGAATATATTAAGGTTAAAATTATGCATACAAGTTGTATCATACTTAGCTACAGGTGAAATTCGTTAGAAGTGAACTTTTCTTTTATCGTGTTAGAGTGAAGATTCCAACCAAGTTATTGAGATTTGAAATAAATGTTACATATAAATATAAGATTCTAGAATATTGTAATGTGAACTGAAGGTCATAGAGCTGAAAATTCAATAGATTACATAATTGGATATTCAATGTTATAGAATATTATCTTGCATATTGCATTTATTTGTAACATTTATTTCAAATCTCAATAACTTGATTGGAATCTTCACCAACACGATAAAAGAAATAATCACTTCTAACGGACTTCACCTGTAGGTTAATATGATATAACTTGTATGCATAATTCTAACCTTAAAATATTCTATTTTACTTACAGAATTAATTAACGAGGACTTAACGTAATCACACGAATCCATATTATTCTACTCAAATCTCCATTGTTGCTCCAATCAAAATAATTAAGATAGAATTTTGGTTATAATAATTCATATTTATTATTATTAATTGTTTGTTGTATCATAGGTGATGATTCAGTCTTGAAACTTCAACGCGTCCCTGAAGAAATTGTCCAGACATTTGAAAATGCTAAAAAAGCTAATATTCATCGTACTGTACATGTTGGTGAAAACAGTTCAGCAAGTAGTGTCTATGAGGCAGTGAATAATTTATATGCTGAACGTATTGGCCATGGATATCACATCTTAGATGATGAAAATGCATATAAGTCTCTACTTGAAACCGGTGTACACTTTGAAGTAAGAATAAACAACAACACACGACACATTTTATGCCTTTTTTCCAAGGAGGAAAAAAATATTTTTTTCATTGGAGTCATGAACCGATCTAAGTTGGATAACCACTGAAAACCTTGGAGCACTGGATAGCCGTTTTGTCCTAGTGTTGGAATCCTCAGCAGTGCACATCCACCACATCGCATACGGGAATCAAACCCAAGCATTCGAGCTCGAGCCCGAACGACGTGGTCCGTGTCCATTGCTTTCAGGTTTTCAGTGGTTGTCTAACTCAGATCGGTTCGTGATTCTAATGAAATTCAACGATCTCCACAGCTCCTAACTAACATATTTATTTTCACATCAGTTGTAGCACATCATGTTAATGGATAGATTATACTGCTTATAAAATGTTCACTGATTATTGTTTTGTAGCGTATTTTGAGATTGATAGATTTTGATTGAAATTTCACATCATCAAAAGATCTGTTTATCTCAATGAGTTTTCTTTAAATATTCGGTTTTTAAGTGACCTATTTTCCGATTCGTTAGCACAACAATTGTTGTTTGTGTAATAAATAAAACTACAGTCGTCAATAGAAATATCAAGATAACGAGTACTGCTTGCACTTTCTCATAAAATCATTTAGTTATTTGTGAAGATTAATTCAACTTCGATATCGCTTTTATCATAGATTAATTTAAGTTAGAATGTTATTGAAAAACGGAAAAAGAACTAGGCAGTTCTTTTGTCCTAATCCCAGACTTTTAAATAGTTTGATGAGGACAATCTTTTCTGAAACTGAATACAAAGAATTTTAGGCCTCGTGGCAAGCGCATCATCCTCAAACTACTTATCCCCTAATACAATGATTATGATTTCCAGCTTTAGTCATTTATCAGTATTACGTTATATCAACCAGAGACGTTAGTATGTAAATTATTCACTCTCTATATAGTTTGACTCCAATGGTTCACAATTTCTCATTTCTCAAGAATTCCATACTAGGATGAAAAAACTGCTCAATACACTTTGGTTTTAAATACTTTCTCACTTTCTATCATTTCCATACGAAAGTCAACTTTTTTCTAACCAATCTCAACAAAATTAACAACTAATAATCTTTTCAGAATTATTGTTATTAATGTTAAATAAAGACTTGTTGATTCGCTCAAAATAAAATCAGGTCAACAGATTATTGAATTGATCCCAAAGCATACTAAACTTATCTGAGTGTTTCATAGATAATAGTTAATGTTTGCTATAGTTTGGGAATTATTTTGATTATTTCAAGTTACGAATGATTGAGAGAACCTCCTAATACGAAATGTGATCATAGGAAACCAGATAGATCGGACGACAATATATAAAGTCAATTCAATGTTTATGACCCACTCATTATTAGCATGAACAGAAGACCGAACTTTCATAAAAGCTCTGATATTCCCAAAAGAAATCAATAATGTGATGTAATAGTCCTCTTTGTACAGTAGCAACGATGATCTTGAGGACTTATGACAAAATTGCAAACTAAAAGAAAAAGTACTCAATCCGAGAACGGGAAAATTCAACATGTAATATGAGTTAAGAGTTATCGAGGATTTTATTCCTCGTAAAAACTATAAACTATCAACTGAAGGAAAAAAACCGTCTAACCTGAAATCCTTCTTGCAGGTTTGGAGTTAGTTTTCGTTTGATTACCACTCAATAGTATGTTGTTTTGCTGAGCTTGAAGGTCCCTTATCATTTAATTAAGGGATCATCGATTACTTCATTTCAAGAGAATTTTTTAGCTGATATAAATCTTAGATCGTCTCGTAGTTATATAAACGTCCTCGTAAACTCGCATAAATTAATAACAATAATGGTAATTATTAGTAATACCAAAAGTAAATTATTTTTAAGGAGACGGATGTAACACTTCAGAAATAAATTGAAGAGATAAGTGCAGCGAAGAGTTCTCCTTTCCGGGAATTCATTTCAAAAGCTGTAAAATCAGAAATCTGTACCTACTTTCCGAAATCATAATAATTACAATAATAATGATAATAGAATTCTCTTAGACAGGATAACAGTGAAGTAAAATAAACAAATTCATGAAAACGTAATTTTTATTAGGTAAACTAACAATAATTTTGGTATCCCTTTGTCTATTCTACTTCACTGTTATCATGTTTAGTAAAATTTTATTATCACTATGATTCCAACTACTATCACTTTGGAAAATAACTGTATACTTCCGATTGTACGGTTTTGACAAGTGAATTCGCCAAAAAGATAATCCTTCATTAAGTCAATCGTTCTTATTTGAAGTAAAGTATTTCTTTATGATTTAGGTGTGCCCATCGTCAAGTTTTGTAACTGGTTCCGTTGATGGTCGAAATCCAAACAATCATCCTGTACACCGTTTCATTGCGGATAAACTCAACTTCTCCATTAATACCGATGATCCAACACTGACAGAAAGATGGGATTTACAAGAAGCTAAATATTGTATTGAAGAATTAGGCATAGCACCTAATCAATTGAATATTGCCAATTACAATGCAGCTATGGCAGCGTTCGTTACCAGTGCTGAACGGGAACTTTTAATATCACATATAAAAATTCGATCAAGAAATAGAATAATCAAAGTTTAATTAAAAACAAAATCACTATTCTGCTCAAACACACAAAGTGGATCACGTTTCAATCTCAAATATCATATTCTTTCTATATGAACTTTCTTCTCAATAGAAAAACGACATTACTTCACCGATTAGAAATTAATTTACGAATAGATTATTGAAAGAAGCATACTTTCTTATTAGCTCTTGTTCACAAAGTCTCATTTCATATTCTAACTTGTGATTATAACTTTTGTTTACTAATTTAATTCTAAAATATTCCATTCTAATATATTATTTTTCATAAGAATCTATTTTGTCTGATCAGAACAAGTTTGAACAACAACTGTGTTGAATTGAAAATAAAGAATCCTTGTTTATTTTAGAGATTAGTACTAATTGGATGACTAATTTCTATATAGAAAGATATTAGTAGCAGTGTGTAATTTTCCGTGGTCGATGTTAAATAATGGGATTGATCAGTCTCTGTTGATGTACATGCATCATCCTACATGGATTGCTTCGGTATTGCCATTTGGTCAAAACCTTTGGTAAAGTAGCAATTATAGTTACCAATGAAATGTAAAACAAACATTATTTGATCATTTCGCACTCGTCAGATGTTTAGATGATCATCTCATTGTTGATTTTCACACCGAGACTCGAACCCAATACACGTCACTGAAACGCCAACAAATCATCCATCGAGCTACTCAGTCTGTGTAAACACTAACTTGTTCAACGGGTATGAAGTTGTTTTTAGTATTTCTATCTCCTCGTTTTAATAAATAACTTCATACTCGTTAAATAAATTAACATCAACTTACACTCAGTAGCTCAGTGGATGATCAGTTGATGTCTCAAGCTGTGCGTCTCATTGTTAACAACAAAAAATGGAATTGAAATACATCTGCATGACGAGTTTCACACAAGAGAAAACACTGATAATCAATATTCCAATTTATAAAATGGATTGATATTAACAATAGATGAAATAAATGTATTTCATAACACTCAACCGAAGTTGGTCACATAGAGATCTGAGCCTGAAGAGCATGACAGATGTCCCTCATCCTGTTGCGAACTTCGAGATATGGAAATAACTGAATAATGGTGTGGGAAAGTGTGTTACAGACATCGCAGAGAAATCTCTATTCGTTATTTACAACATGAATGGTTAATATCACTGTTTCTCATTATGAAATCTCGTGACTTCTACCACTGAGGAAAAACTCCCGGTCATGAAGCCAGTTAATGAGGGGGATGGAGTGTACGGCCAGCGACCACACTTCGTAAAGCAAACTCTGCTAAAGAAATGATAGCCCAAGAATTCTGATAGAAATCTGCTCTGTGAGATGAAGGGTCAGTGTGTAGACACATTACGACACTTGATCAAGGAAACCAGGAGACTCCGGAAGTCACAAGACCAACCCCCTTCTAATAACCAGGAAAACAGCAACTGATGGGAATATGGAATGGCCGAACAACGTGCTAGACTGGGGAAGTGCTTTGAATAGTCACAAAATCGACGAGATTCAACCTGAAACACATTGGAATATGTGAGACCTATTAGGTGTAAATACTAAGGAAAAGGCTAACTTCAAAAGAGATCGACAAACAACCCTTTGAACATGCAGAGTGGTGCTGGACAAAAGGAAGCACCAGTACAAAGGATGGACTACTTCCAACCACTTACCGTGTTGTTAACACACTGAATTAGCAATGCAACATGTTTATAATAAAATCGGACAGTCTTACACTCTGATATTTTCAAATATTTCAGCAACATTGCTCCAACAAACATTTGTAGAGTCACGTGTGCAGTTTATAAATACATTTGTTTCGGTCGACTTGCAAAACTATGAAGTAAGTGAGAAATTCGGTTAATTGATTGCATCGATTTTTTCTACTACTGAATTCACAGGTAACCATCAATCAGTCATGTGAATGACAAACTTCCTTCAGAAAGTGTTAATATGTCCAGGTGTTTATGTATTCCACTTTCGCCACCATCTCTACAAGGTGAACATATCAAATTATGGTTAAACAATTTTCTGTTTACCAAATCTGACTCAAACGTGAACATATGTTTGTTAAACAATAAAAGCAAACTAACCAGTGAATATGATTAGCTCACATTTATGTGTGGTTGAAATATTTTGTCACTTTGTAACCAAATCTAGATTACAATCATTGATATTACTGAGAGTAGAAGAATTAGCATTATGGATTCGCTGAGTTGTCCAGTTGAATATACGCATTAAAATCCACCACATAACCGGAAATTAGATATGTACAGTTACTGTTTGTAAAATAGCCTTCAATGGACATGACTTTACATTCCGTCATACTTTTCTACTGTCGATTAATATTCCAGTCTTGTCCATTCGTCCATTTCATCTGATATAATCATCCTCATTTGAAAAAATAATCAGAACACGACAGATTGGAATCTAAAACACTTATTTGTTTCTTAATGACTGTTATCGCCTATGAACAATTCTCATTCACAATAATCTTCATTAACTTATTTAAAATTCCATATCATAGTCTTTCAACAATCAATCCCATTTTCGTTTTTTCCTTTAGTTTTCTATACTCATGGTTAGAGGGTTGATGTAAATTAATCACGGTTGGATTGGTTTTCAACACAAATCGATATCAATCACTTGGATAATGAACGAAAAGCTCCCAGTTTGAATCACTGTAACAATGTTGAATGATAATTTTGTACACCAACAAGCCAATTTATTATGACCACAATTATTTGCCCCAAATTGATCAATCTACCATGAGCAAGTACAAATAAGAAGTAGTGAATAAACGGACACATATATAT